TTGTTACGAATGTAACATATTGTATTATTATATTCCCTAATAGCTTGGAATATTTTTTTTTAGTAGTAGTTTTTTATCAGCTAGGAATCTGGATATTTCTAAAATTGTAGAGTGTAATCGGTCAACTTGAGCGTTTGATGTCGAGTGATTATTTGCTGTTCGTTCATGCTTTATATTTAGTTTATTTAGCAAGGCAGTCGTGCCAACGCCAACAAATATGCTTTCGTTATCAGACATACTAAGTTCGACACATTAGGGAATTATTTGACTAATTACTTCATCTATAATTTCGTGGAAATGTCGCTTTGTGTCGAGTTTGCGTAAATATGTATATTAAGAGTACCTATCTATGCAAGAAAGATATCTTGCGTTCGGTATTTGGAATATGTATGTCCATTTGTACAGATATAACTGCTATGTCGGGTGTACGGGTTTTTCCTTTGTTGTTTGACTGGTCTTGTGTCATACTTTTGTTTATTGCATAAACACAATCTCTTGCTATATTTGTAGCTTCAGTTCTTAACGTAGGCCACCAACATGTTTCCATTATTTCTTTTGTTATTTTTAGCGTTTCTATCAGCTCTTTTATGAGTGAAATCTAAAATGTCTTCTCTTTCGCTATCTACTGTTATGTCTTTCAGTACAGTGTGTGTTAATACTTTGGGGTATGTATCAAATGTTATTTTAATTAATAGCTGAATATCGTGCCACGTTTGTAAGTCTGAGTGGAACGCTGTCATTACTAATTAATTACTGCTTTAATGTTTGCTAAGCGTGAGTCGGTGTCCGTGAAGGATATGACAAATCTTTCGTATTGTGGGAATACTGTGGAGCTGGTGATTTGAATATTTTCACTTCTCCGTATTATTACTTATTTTATAATTGTATTTGTCTAATATTTTTAACTTCTGAAGTTTATGCTGAGTGTTCGGATACATTGGTTGAATTGTGTATTTGTCTAGGTAGAGCGTCTCTGCTACTACGTTTTCATGTCCTGGTTTATATTTTAGAGCAGTTCCATATTCTTCTATTTGGGTTTTCCACCTCTTTGGATGTGCTTTCGGATTATTTTTTGATATCGAATATATTAACGTTTGATAGTCTTTATATACATATGGTTAGGTGTGCTATTCTATATAAATAAGTCCTAAGTTTTTGTAAAGCACAAACAATAGCTAACATTACTTTTTCGTTTGTTGAGTAATTATGTTCTGTCTTGCTCAGTGTTCTTGATATAAATGGTATAGGATTTTTACCCTGGCTCAATACTGCTCCAATTGCATAGTTAATAGCGTCAACATAGTACTAGCTTCAGTTAGATCGAATCCTACAAATCCTACCTGTAATAGGAAGCTAGTCCTAGAAAGGATCGAAGTTATTTTAGATTTTTTAGAATTGGATATTCATCCATAGCTTTGATTTTATTGGGGTCTACATAGATATATAGAGGCACAATAGACCATGGTCGCGGTGCAAACCTAATCATTATGCCATTTTTTTATAATGTGTCCCGAAAATTCTGTCTGCTTTTGCAAAAATTTTACTAATCTTCTGATATATTCATGTTTGCTTTGTAAAGTGTGTTTATTATATCTGAGATATCTTTCATATGCTGCTCTAGCGTATCTATCAATACAAACATACGCACATTTAGCGATGAAAGGTCAGAGAATGTCATCTACGCATCTCTGAGAGATTGATGGTGCATTTTTTAATCCGAATGGAAGCCTGAAGAACTCATATTTACCTCTATTTATTGGAAAAGCTGTTTTTTCTCTGTCCTTCTTCTTAAGCATGATCTGATGAAATCCTGACTCTAAATCTAGAGTGGTGAAATATGTCGTATTTCCTAGGTTTTGAAGTGTCATTGTAATGTCCGGAATGGGATATCTGTCAGCTGTTGTTTGTTTGTAAAATTTTTGGAAATCTATAACCATTCTTCGCTTGATTTGTCCATCTTCACCAGTTCCTTATTTGGATACTGTCCATATGGGTGAATTATAGATACTTTTACTAGAATGTATTATTTTATTTTTTAACAGTTTGGTTATTTCCTTCTTTAATCAAACTGCAGTGCGTTCCAAAGTAAACAGGACTTTTAAAAAAAAGACAGTACAAATGGTTTTATCGGCAAAATCAATTAATTTTATTCAAAATAGTCTCCTTCTGCTTTAAAACAGCTTTTTGCACGGTCCAAAAGCATGTCGAATAGATAGCCACTAGAGTTTACTTTTTTACTGTTTACTTTGGAACGCACCTAGTATATCTTTGGTTTCAGTTCTAATTTCTGCTTCAATCCCACACTACGGGTTTTTATGATTCCTTTTCATTAATTCCTGTATTTCGTGCGCATAACTTTCTTCTCCTACTTTTAGAGTGATTCGCCACTTTTGTAAAACTGATAGAGTAGTTGAATAAATTTATTTTTGCCTTCATTTTATTTAGGGAATCTTTCCCTAGTATTATATCAAAATTTTTTAATTCATCAATTTCTAAAAAACCTAGAAAAAATCCAACAAGATTTATATCTCTTTTATGTGTTATAGTAGACATACCATATCATGTTTTTGTATTAATTGGTTCATTAAGTATAATTATTTTGGCAAATGGATAATATTTTCTGATATAACTATTCGTAGCATCAGAGTCTATTAATATAAACACGGGCATGTCATTTGGTGCAGTTCGTTTAAGTGTAGGCAGACCGTAATAACTTATAAAAAATGTTCTTCTTGTTCATACTCACTACCTAGTTGATAGCGTGCTTCTTTCTGCCGGACGTTTGTAGCTGAATCAGGTGCTGCTCGCTTTGTAAAAATACTGTATAATATACATACATATAGATTTCTTTGGTCGGCCTATGAATCATCTAGTTGATCCATTATTTCGGTGAAGTTATGTCTGGTTATATGTCTCAAATTGTTTAATGTTGCCGATTAGAGTCATGCCCATTTTCCTCCATATTCCGTATTCGTGTTTATCTCCACTAAGTGTTTTAAAAGATTTAAATATGTTTAGGTCCAATTCGCTAGGATTTGTGTAAACGCACACTTGTTCTGGACTTCTGGAACTCCTGCCTGCATCAAAGTAAATCATTGTTGCATATCATTCACCATTGCCTTTAAATCACTTATTTCTGCTGTTCGACTCATTTTTGTAAAACAATTGTTTTTTTATGTTATTTAATACTTATATATCCTGATGTCAGAATTTAAAAATTGGCGAAATGGGATGTGCTTTCTCACTGTATCTCACAATTTTAAATTTCATCTGAGCCTTTCACATTGAAGTATATAAAGCAATCACTACAGATATCGTAATAAAATCGGACCCCACCATTTCAAACCCCCCGATACAAAAAGGTGGACCTCATGTTGATCAAGTAATACCAGTCAATCTAGATGTCTTAGCAAAATAAAATGAACTTATAATATCGGGTGTTTTTCTTCGAGGTATAGAACTTTAAGTTGGCATTACTATTCAAGATTGTTTGGCAATTCATCATGAATAGACTCACGCCTGAACAACGTTTGCCAATAGTGCAATTTTATTTAAAAAATAATAGTTCTATGCGGAATACGTATCGCGCACTACGTTCATTTTATGATGAAGCGCACTTCTGGTTGAATGGCTACGTCAACAAACAAAACTGCCGCATTTGGAGTGAAGCTAATCCTCAAGTGTATGTCGAAACACCGTTATATCCAGAAAAACTGACTGTTTGGTGCGCTTTATGGGCTGGTGGTACTTCTTCAAAAACGATGATGGCCAGAACGTTACAGTTAATGGTGATCGGTATAGAGCCATGATTTCTAACTTTTTTATTCCTGAATTGAAGAACCACGATATCCAGGAGCTGTGGTTCCAACAAGACGGCGCAACATGTCACACAGCTCGTGCCACAATCGATTTATTGAAAGACACGTTTGGTGACCGCCTAATTTCACGTTTTGGGCCTGTGAATTGGCCTCCAAGATCTTGTGATTTAACAACGCTAAACTACTTTCTGTGAGGTTATGTAAAGTCATTGGTCGGTGAAGTTATGCGCATAAGCCACAAACGCTTAACCATTTGGATGACAACATTCGCCGTGTTATTGCCAATATATGGCCACAAATGTTGGAAAAAGTCATCGAAAATGGAACGTCCAGATTGGACTACATCCGTGCCAGCCGTGGCGGTCATATGCCAAAAATCATATTTAAAATGTAATGCCACAAGATTATCTTTCGGATAAATAAAATTCATGTCAATCGAATAATCCATCGTTGTTTTATTGCAATTTAAAGTTCTATACCTCTAAAAAAACACCCGTTAATAGATATACTAAAGCAAAATTTGGAAAACGTGTGAAATTGGTCCACGAATTACCTCAACTTCCATATGCTATATATGTATATTTCTATTAGACTATATGCCGCCGAATATGCCGGTCAATGTGTGAGTAAATTTTATAAAATTGCGTGGAAATGTGTTGTTAAGTACTAAAAGTTAATGCAGTCAGTCCAGATCTTCTCCTATCATTAATATGCGTAAGATTATGATTTTCATCCATTTTGATTTTCCTTCTCACTTTAAAGCGTTTGTATTGGTAAAAAATGTGTGTTAAATATCAAATGTCATATAAAATTATTTTGAGTTTTTAACCATAATGTGGCTTAGCGCTGTATATGTTATGAATGCAGTTGGTCTAGAACTAGCCTCATATCCCTAATATAATGACTTCGGGATATGTTTACCTAAACAAATTTTTTGGGAGAAAATTCAAATACTCAAAACTTTTTGTAGGTCTAAGTTCATTACATTGGGCGATTTATCGACTTTGCATTCCAGTAACTTGTAACATATGATCTATGGTTTAAAGCGTTTATTTTCAGCATTAAGGCTTACGTCATACATTTTTCAATTCGTAACGTTAGATTATTATTAAATTTTTGAACATTGTTTAGATTACATCGACTTGTTATAAAATAATTTTTTTTTTTTATTTTACCTGATAGTGACAGATATGTCAGCCAATGAGCGAAAGTCGCGGGTCAAAAGATTGAAAGCGAAAAAATTACAGGAGTTTATTGCTAGAACGCAGGCTCAAATAATTGAGAAGCGGGCTAAGGAAAGCAAACAACTTAAGAACAAAACTCCTCTCACACCTATAATAGAAAATAGAACAGTTGCTGAGAAGCCTAAAATAAATGCAGAGCTTACAATTTCCAAACAAATTGATATAGGTGAAATGGATCGTACAATATTGGAATCGGGAATATATGATGACAAGCCATTTATATTTTTCGGGAAGGAAGAATACACGAAACTTGTTATAAATAATACTGAAGACATTAATAATATAATAAAAAGTTTCAACAGTTATCGCGACATACTTGAAAGTATGGGAAATGAATGTCAAGAAGTTACTGAAACACCAATTGATAATTTCAGGTAAATTATTTAAAATATTAACTATTTGCTAAAAATAAGTCCTTCGCTGTCCTGTCTTTTGGGACTTATACTACAATTTTAAGGGAACATATTGGAAGTTCCTTCTTATTCTAACTTATCCATTTTACTTAGGGTAGTCTAGATCAACTAATTAACAGTTTTCTGTTCGTTTCATAACGAGGTGTATATTGTTTTTGACCAATTCGTACATAGTTGTCAAATGCAGGATTTTAACAAGTACGATATCATCAGCATACACTACTTTGAGCACTAGAGTTATTTTCATAATATATTTCACGAATTGCCTGATATTTTTGGTATATGGGATTAGAAAAGCTAGGTCGTGTTTAAGAACTTATTGTACCAAAGTATACGATTTTGAAATATTACGCTTAAAATTGCCAAATACGAAATATTATCTTAAAGTATTCATGCAATATATTTTATTAATTGACCATCTTTTACCTAGTAAACAATGAGAACAATAAGTGTCAGGAAATTTTGATTTTATTTTCACAAATAAACTAACAAATCATTATATTTTACAGTTTTGTGGTTCCTAAAGATAACGATGTCGAAGAGCCCTTGGGTCTTTTAGAGGCTAGCGAATCTTATATTTCTTCAAAGAGTATGGAAAGTAGCGCTTCTAAATATCACAATGTTCAGAGTACAGAAACTACTGTTATCACAAAGCCAAAATCAAGGTAATTTCTTTATTTTTTTATTTCAACTATTAAAATATTTACCCATTTGATATTTTTAGGTTTAAGTCTAAAATACATAATAACGAGGAGCAAGAACGCTTCGCAAAGGAAAAAGCTCTTCGAATCAATTTGGAGTCATACCTTAATGTATGTGTTTCAGCTGGAATGATTAATCGTGGAATTTCCACATTGTTAGCATATAGACAAAAAACAAAAAAAAAGTTGGAAACTCTGAGTCTCATTACAATTGAATTTTACAATATTATATTACATGGACTAGCCGAAAAGGGTTCATTTGAGCGATTCAATGATATTTTCGCATTGATTGGAGAAGATCAATTGAAATTTAATGAACAAACATATGCCGCTATTTTGGAATGTCTAGGACGCATTGAATCATCGGAAGAAAATATTCACCAAATTAAAAAGTTTGAACAAATGGCAAACCAAAATGTAAGAATTATTGATATAATTGATATAAGTTGTTAAATTTTTTTTTATGCAGGGAATAACGTTAAATGAAATAATGGATCGATCAGTGTTTATTGCTGATCAAAGAGATATTGCTTTAGACGCTATTCGACGAATACGACCAGATTTTACTCCTATATATACACCACCAGTTCTATGTTATAATAATGAACTCCTTAATAATTTAAACCAATCTATTGTACCTTTAGACAAAACATCGTCATCAATTACAAATGTAATGAAATCGAAATGTGGCTATGATAGGACTGAAACATCGTCATCAATTACAAATGTAATGAAATCGAAATGTGGTTATAATAGGGCTGAACTAGAAAAGATGGCACGTGAACAACTGAAAGTTGAATTAGATGGCTGCATAACAATAAGGTCAATTGAAAATTCAATTGAATTTGCTAATGCTGAATATTGTGTAAGTACTTATAAAATATATAAATAACAAATTTTAAACTTAAATAGACAACAAACCAAATAACCCATGCGCGAGTAAATTACTCGTAAGATTGACATCTGTATTATTCCTACTATAAAGTTTTGATTAAAATAATAATGAATGTTATTGTTGTAAAAGATATTTTCTGCCTATAGGCCGTTCTTTGACAATTTGATGAATTGTTAAAAGGATATATGTATATGACATCCACCATATCCAAGTAATCATTCGTAATTTTTATACTCTCGCAACCTGTTGCTACAGAGTATAATAGTTTTGTTCACCTAACGGTTGTTTGCATCACCTAAAACTAATCGAGTTAGATATAGGGTTATATACATATATATAAATTATCAGGATGAAGAGACGAGTTGAAATCCAGGTGACTGTCTGTCCGTCCGTCCGTCTGTCCGACCGTGAAAGCTCTAACTTGAGTAAAAATTGAGATATCTTTATGAAACTTGGTAGACATGTTTCTTAGTACCGTGAGACGGTATTGCAGATGGGCGTAATCGGACCACTGCCACGCCCACAAAACGCCATTAATCAAAAACAAATAAATTGCCATAACTAAGCTCCGCAATAAGATACAAGACTGTTATTTGGTACACAAGATCACATTAGGAAGGGGCATCTGCAGTTCAAATTTTTCCCCATATAACGGTACTGTCAAAAACTACTAAAAGCGCGATAAATCAAGCACTAAACACGCCAGAGACATTAAATTTTATCTCTGAGATGGTATAAATTGGCTTTATAGGAACCGCGTTCAAAATTAGTCAGTGGGCGTGGCACAGCCCACTTTTAGGTGAAAACCCATATCTTGAGATCTGCTCAACCGATTTCAACCAAATTCGGTGCATAACGTTCTTTTCATGTTTCTATGTCATAGTGCGAAATCGGACTACAACCACGCCTATTTCTCATATAACACCATTTTCAATTCCATCTGATTCTTTCACTTTCCACTATGCATATCAAGCAACAATGATTATATCGGGGTAAAACTTTGCGTGAATAATACGTTTAAAGTATGCCACCTTGTGACCAAAAATTGTATAAATCGAACCAAAACTGTTCAAGAGCCTAAGTACTAAATATGTGGACCCCAGTGCCTATAGTTGACCTTCTACCGAAAATATCAGCCAACACACAAAGAAATCTCAAACGAGTATACCATTTGACTTTGCGAGAGTATAAAATGGTCGGTTACATCCAAACTTAGCCTTTCTTTACTTGTTTTCTTTACTTTTAGCTACATTTTCGGCTCTCACTTGTCGTCAATGTCAATATAATTTTTATATCAAATGTCAAAAATTCACTAAAAAGTTTTTGTTTTTGACTTTATTTACTTTTATTTAAAGTAACATCTATGATTAAAAACGGGGAAAATGGGCCTGTTCGCGCCCTATTAGGTTTTTGTACATATCTCAGAAGCTACTAAAGCTGTATCAACCAACTTCAGCACCTATCATACATTATAAAATTGGATAAATTCGGATCATAATTGCACCCACTCGTATTCTGTAGAAAACTATTAAAAGTGGAATAATTCACTAATGTGCAGATTGTACCCAAAGGCTGCAGGTAAATCGGTAGCAATGCCCACTTTAAGGTGAAATCTAGCTTAATGCCGAAAGCAAATTCGATCGCGCCTAGCTCTATATACCCATAATAGTTATTTCCGACTTTCCATTTGAATTACAATTAAATGGAAATTAAATTAGAGATATTTTAGTGTTTTAGTGCTGAGTATGAATAAAATCGGTCTAGACTTTGATCTAACCGACCCATCCGTAATATATTTATTTTCGCCACTCTGGTTGATTCTTGTTTCATATACCCATATATGTTTATATAACATTTCGTCTCTTAGATTAAGTTTTCTTCAATAAGAATGTTATCCGGTACTAAAAATTGGTAATATAGGTATGTACTAAAGATTCACAGAGCACTAATAAGACGAAAACAGTTATTTGTGTTAGTTAGGAATGTAAGAGAGTCCACGAACTACGTTTCAAGATAATAATATTACATTGAAATTCCCCTATACGGACACAACGTTTTCATTAATATTTTCATACTCAAATCAATTTCTATAATCGGATGCTCCAATGACTGGACACTGACACTATTTTGAAAATATTCAGTTCAAATTATCTCTGATAAACGTGCATGAGTTCATAAAATGTATGTTTTTTTAATTCTCTTTAATCTGTGGAGTTTTGCTTTAGTTTTTTTATAAAAACAATATGCAAAATGACCGCAGTAAGCAAACTGACTACGGCCGGCACCGTCTGGTTCGCGGTGATTTAACATAAACTAACAAGATAATTGTTATTCATTCACTCCTGTCTGACATTAGCTCGAATTCACTAAGCTTTGGCAAACATAACTTTGTTATTTGTTCAGTGGAAACATAATTTCAAGTCGAAGTATTTTTGTCATTCTGAGAACTCTGCTGTTGTAATTTTTATTGATGTTGTTGTCGTGTGACATCGGAGCTAAATTTTCAGGTCACCTCTATTCAAAAGAGTTGAGTTATTTATTGCTTTGGTAAATCATTTCGTGGATATGTATTCAACCTAAGTATAAGAGTATAATATACATTCATAAATATGTATATCCATACAAATATTATACTCCATACTTCCATACTATCCATGCTAATATTATGAATAGTAATGTAAGTTTGTTGGTTACGATGTCACGCCGAAACCACTTAACCGATCGCCATGAAACTTTGTACACATATGTATACATACAGGTATAAAAAATATATAGGATACTTAATATTAAAAAATAAACATTTTTTTACGAATTGAGAAAACCCACTTTTGGCAGATCTGATTGTTTGTAAACAAGTTTGAATATAATATTTGAAATTTTGAAAAATGAAAAAAATGTATTTGTTGTTTGCCATAAATCAAATCTGTCCAGAAGTTCGTCACGGGCTCGTGCAGCAAAAGCTGACGGAGAGCTGAATATACAAACGGTGACAAAATGTGTTGAGAGCAGCAGACAGGTACAAAGAGCGATAAAAAAGCAATGGAATATCGTAGTCATTATTTTATTATTATTGGGTCAATGGACAAAAAATATACATGTATTGTTAATATATATAAGGTTGTCAAATATCTCCCTTCCGCTTTTTTGCTCTTCATTCAATGCTTTATAAAAAGTGTAACAGTGATCGGATTTAGTTAAAATATGCGCCGTTTTGTTCGATGATCTGTTTCCATTTAGACGGCAACTTCATAATACCTTCCTCATAAACCCCTCCTTATTTGCGAAGAATTCGGACAGCCACTTTTCACAAGCCTCTTTTGAGTTCAATTCACACCACCAAGGGCATTCGCCATGGACGAGAACAGGTGGTAATCACTGCGACACGTCGCTATATGGTGGATCGATAAAACCTCCATCCGAGCTCCCTAGCTTCTGACGAGTCATCAACGAAGTGTGTGGTCTGGCGTTGTCCTCGTGGAACACTACACCCTTCCTGTTGGCCAATTCTGGACGCTTCTGGTCGATCGCCTGCTTCAAGCGGTCCAGTTGTTCGCAGTAGATGGTAGAATTAAGCGTCTGGCCATATGGGAGCAGCTCATAGGGATGATTCCCTTCCAATCCCACCAAACACACAGAAACCTTCCTGGCCGTCAATCCCGCTTGGCCACTGTTTGGACGATTCGCCCTTGACCGTATTTTCGCTTGATATCTTCGTATGTGATCCATTTTCGTCGCAGTCACCATCCGCTTCAAGAATGGGACGAGTTCGTTCCTTTCAGCAGCATATCGCAGGCGTTGATTCGTCCAGAAGATTTTTGCGTCAAATTATGCACCCAACATCAAACTTTTTTTATCCAGCCTTCTGCAGATGGTTCAAAATGGTTTGGTGACTAACTCCCATGGGCGATGTCACGAGATGCATATATGCCGGTCCTCAGTGTATTCCATGATTTGATCGGTATTTGTCGTCACGAGTCTTCCGCGCTGGCTTATCCATGGTGTCGTTTTCACCGCTCTGAATCGTCGAAACCATTCCTCCGCGGTTCGAAGTGATAGAGTACCATTCCCAAAACACCAAAACTTCTCGACGTGGCGAAGATGAGATTCGTTATAATGCGCTGTTGGTCAAAAAGTTGTCGTTTTGGGTACTGGTTATCTATGTTCTTCATGAGACTTATGAAATATGTAAGCCGCAGATTACGTATTTTTAATATTTTCGTATTTTGTTATGTTGCATAAAAACTATGGAGAAATACCTTCTCGGCATAATTTAAATAAACAATATGAAATATTCCATATGTGGTAATATGATATTAAATGTATGTATGAATGTTGTACATATATATACCTAACTATGGCACCAATTTAATTATGCTATTGTAACAGCATATTACAATGTCTAGTCAGCATATTAAAATATATGTGGCAGCTTGGGAGTGGTGGAGTCATCTGATGACGTAACGTCCCACTTCTGTAAAACTCTCCTGAGTTCTTGTATTTACGATTTTATTTTTGTTTTTTCTTTGCAATTCATACAAGGACTACTATCACCATTACTATGATTATCAATGTAAATTAATACCATATGATATATTTTTATGGTATTTTAATTTTCACTTTCTTTTATTTTTATTGCAATATCATTAAATTTAATTTTGGTGTGTAACTTTGATTGAATTTTTCGACAGGGTATACGATTGTATCAACATACTCTGTTTTATTATTGTTTTATATTACCGTTGTAAAATTTCTATTTTACAATTTACCTTTAATTATATAATTATTTTAGTGCGATTTTCTATCATCGCATTTCTGTTTATTTTATCGTTATTAACATTTCATTAATTTGTATCATCGCTTATCACTTGTATTGTTGTTTTGTTATTGTATATAAATTCATAAGTATTTGAAAATATACAGTTTTACTCAATTTAAAGTTTTATATGCTTTATTTACTTCTATCAAAATAG